AGAGACTCTTCATAGTGTTGCTCCATGTCATCTTGTTTTCTCCATAATAAATGTATCATCCTTTACTATAGTATGAGTGGTAGAGGCCAGTGTTTTCCCAGTAAAAGTTGTAATCCCAAAACTTTCCTCTGTGTTTTACCTACAGATTCATATTTTGATGATGGTATTACCAAACAGATATAAATAAGATGTGACCATCATCCTTCTTTGTTAAAGATTGAAATCAAGCAAATAGGTCCACCATGTTAGTGGAAAAAGAGCATAAGAGACTTGTACCACAAGTTATATTTCCATTCTTGTTCTGGACCAGAAACTGTTACAGCCACAACAGCAATTTACTTTAAGAATACTCTTGGTCAAAGAAAAACAACTTCTTCCAATGGGTAACATAAAGTCATTTCCTACTATATGGGTATTGCCAGAAAGACTCTAGATTTCACCTTTATATGAAGGTGCTTTGGTCCAGAGGTGTGGTGGGGGACTCAAATGGAACAAGAAATTGGCTTGTCTTTGTGTTGTACATTTAGTGAGTATTTTTACTACTTTAGTCACTTTTCTTTATATAAATAAAGCTTCTCCTTTTTTATCTAAATCTTACTTATCCCCAGGGCCTCTCTGCAAATGCAGTGACACTTCAGGAAAGGGTAATTGAACCTGAAGCACTTTTACAGCAAAATGCCATTTTTTAAAGGGTGTAATGAAACATATTGCAAATGCAGGTTTTTTTAAATTTACTATATGGAAACTGATTGCCTGTAGGAATGAGTAACCTGAGGATTTAGGACTATATCGTATTGGCTGTCACTTCTTTAACCCTCTAGGCAGCAGCTTTCCGCTGTAGACTTTGGTTTCTTGTGGCTGTAAAACTCCTGATTTTCAACAAGAGAACATCCTGAGCAGCTTAAAGAAAAAGAAAATAAATGGAGTGCACAAAAAAAAAAGCAAAAACAATCATAACAGGAATGTTTCTTGTTCCATAGCAAGATCAGCAGGTACCACATCTTCTCCAGAGGCGTCCACTGCAAATGCATGTTAGCCTGAGCCTCTGTTCAACTCTGAAGCTCTCCCCACGTGTTCCCTTCACATACCAGGGCAACAAGATAAGGAAACATAGTTGCGGAGAAGACATCTTGCAGAGAAGAAATAACTTTCAGAATTTTAACCGGCTTTTTATGTTTTATATTTTCATTTTTCTGTTTTCACAGAGCATTGTCTTTTCACAGAAGCAGTCTTTGATAGCCATTTTAACTACTGGGATTTTATTCTAGAGTCAGGTAATTGTTTTCTTACTGGCCACAGAAGTCAGCAGTGATTAGCGAAAACAAGATATCAACAACAAAATTATGACCATTAAAAACCAACAGGCTCATTAGCTAAAATGTTTCCATTTTAGCAAACTTCTTCTCTGTTACTTCTGCTCACTCCTGGAGTCTTTGGAATATAGGTCATTTTTTTGCAGTTGTAGATCTGTACCAACATTACATACTCCAATCAGTGAGGTAAAAAATTGACAAGTATTCAGATTTTCTTTAAGGGGGCCACTATGGTTTTTTTCCTGCTAAATGAAAGTGCATATATATTGAATTCTATTTCTTCAGGGAGAACTTTTTAAAGTCTGTAAATGTTGTTTAAGAAATTAAAATAGGCAGCAGCAACTTTTAAGTTTCAAAGGTGAATGGCCAGAAATAATAATTCTTTCTTAACATAAACAATGTTTTTATTCCTTTTTAAAATGAAGTTTGGACAATAAGGAGGTCAGTAGGTATATAATACTTTATTTATACTAGAAGAGTAGCCGGTACATTACCGATGTCTGACTGTCATAAACCAAAACTGGAAAGAAATCTGCATTACAAAACATTAAGCACTCATTGACAGGTCTGATATGGTTGAAAGGGCAAATTCACCCTTTGGCTTTGGGAGATATAGTTGATTTCAGTAAAGGAGTAGCTGAAATGAGGAAATTAGTGTGCCAGTAACACCTTATACCCAGAGGAGCAAATGAAAATCATCAGAAAATAAGAGGAAGGAAATAAGCATCCTCTCCAGCCTACATTTGAGCCCATTCACAGTTCAACATGATGCCAACATATGATAACACTGTATGTACCTACAAAGCTTCTATATACTAAATATCAGTAGCATTGTAATTTTCCACCCATACAACATTTAAAAAGAGTTCAGTTTCCCTACCATGGCCAGCAGACCACATTCCTTTACCCAGGCAGACTTCCTGACCTGCCAGAGAAAAGAATTCCCTTGTGGGTGGATAGTATGTGGTCCTTTCCATGTTGGGTGGGATTCCAATTTTGCAAATTTTCTGCTAATAGAATGGGGTTTCAACTTATTTACTCACATACTTCCTGTGTTAGGGCTAAAAGTGTGGTATGACTGACAGCAAAATATATTTTATTGTAAAGGTTTTGGAAACAGTATACTAAAAATGTAGTATTGGCACACCATTCCATACATGTAGCTAATATTTCACCATATTGTTCCAAAATTCATTTGGCACTTGGACTATATTACACATGCCTATAAAAAGAAAAATCCAAACAAATTTTTCTGTGCTTGTATCAAATGATACCACTATTGTGTATTTGGAATTCTATACTATTACTAATAGACACACTAATCAAGATGCAGAACAGAAATAAAAACCTCTGTATGTATTAGTTTCACTGGTGAGTCTTGTCGTTTAAAGTTCATCCTAATCAAATGATATGAAGAAACTATTTAAGGAGAAACTAGTGAAGATTGAATTTTAGTGAGTTATCTATAACAAATGAGACCAAAGAAATCAAAACATGGACTTTTTATTGAACTTTTGTTCTGCTCTGAAAGGCATATCTATGAAGCCTTTGCTTGAGAGGAAAATGTTACTGTCACTCTAAAAATTTGCTTTAATAAAAGAAAATCTTTGACATGTCTTAATAGAGGTTAGCATTTTTTTCAGTTCCCTTTTACATTTAATGCAATCATTCCATTAATCAAGTAGCTGACGATCTAAGGAAATGTAGTTTAGCCTTCACTGAAATGTGTGACTAATACAATTTTGATTTTTAATATTCTCATATGCTAGCCTATGTATTTTATTCTGCATAGAAAGTTCTATTCTCTTGTTTAGGTAATTCTGTTAAAAAAATGAACAAAATCTTTCAGTGCTTTGACTCAATTGGAACAGACACTATTTAAAAGTTAGGAATCTTGTTACTGCTTTCTGGCAGTGACCTGACACTTGAAAGCCCGATCTCTCCTTCCAGTAGCGAGAACAAAATACAAGAAAAAAAGAAAAATCAACTGAAGTTGCATTTACTCTACAGGTACATCAGGAGTCAGAACTCAAGAACATCTCTGTTTGGCCTAACAGAAAATAAATTAGAAAGTTGCATGTAACATGAAAAATGTAGTAAAAATATGTTCTTCTTGGCTCTGAGGAATGAGTATTTTTGTCCTTGCTCACCATAGCTAATATGTCCCATACTGGCTCACAGCTTATCCCCTTACACCTGGCAGTTCAGCAGGTTTCACATTTATATTCTGTAAAGATGAATTTTATTGACCTTGCTGAGCCAGGAGTACTCATTTCAATACTTTCTGGCTGAATGGGGTAGCAAAAGTCTAAACCAAGACCAGAGCAAGGAAAATGTCTTCTGAAATTTTGATTTATTCAACAGGCACTTAAAAAATTTTTGCATGGATCAAAGCATAAAAATTATGTATCTCTTAAAAATTAGATACACATGGATTTTTAAATTTATGGGGGAAGAACTTAGGATGTTTCAAATCTGCAGCAGTTTAAACTGCTCTCTTCTATCTCTGTTTTTTATGCACTTTAAAAACTATTATTTTTTTGTCCTAGTATCAGAAGGCCTGAGCCTTACTTTAATGTTTTACAGACATTATTATCCTAAGCATGCATGTAATAAAAACATGATGATCACTAATAAAATACAATAATACAGAAAATAACTAACATTTGCCACACTGGTTTCTAAATAATTACTATATTTCATTACAAAGACATAGACAGAATATCATACAACTTTAGGGGTATGTAGAAATTTTGAAACTTCCTTGTGAAGTTGCATTCTGTGACTATTGTAACAAGATTAATATTGCGTTATGACGTGATGTAAACTAGATGATTTCTGCATTTTAGTTTTAATCACTGTGTAATCAGTCGAAGTCAGTGGAAGACAAGATCAGAAATCATTTGAGAAAACACTGGTTTAGGTGAGAGTTCAAGTTTGGGGTTCAACCGTTGGACCACAATTGTAGGTAGTTTCCTGTTTGATGATTTGGAATATTTAACTTCTAGAAATACCTTGTCTGTGGGGAGAGAGAAAAGAAAAAATCGTAGTTTTGTAAAAACTGAGCTAACCTTCCTGAGTGTATTACATTCACAAAATTTGAAAAAACGTTTGAAAGATAATCCAAAGTAAAAACTCTTTGGCAAAACTCTTTCACTTAGTGCAGTAACATCATTTATTCATATTGTTTTTCTTCCATTATTTTATTCCTTTTGTTCTCAAATGGAAGTAAAAAATCAAATGTATTTCTATTATCTTTTCATGATTCAGCTCCTCATCTTATGAATATACCAACTGCATTAAATATTATTCACATTGGTGCTTTAACTTAAATGCTTGAAGCTCAAAACATCAAATAAATTCTCAGCTGGCAGCCCGGTGCAGTGATTTTTCCAGAGCTGACTTTCCTGCCACCACAGTAGGTATTTATTCTCAGCTGAAAGTGAAGGAGTAAGCCTTTTTTCATCCTGAGATGGACAGGTTGCCTGTGTAGAGAAGTCGGTGGTTAGTTTTCTGTAAGTTTTTATGGCAGGATAAAGAAATGGATCATAGCACTATCCTCACTTTATTTTTCTGAAGCTTTCAGCCAAAACCCTTGAGAATTTTGTCAGGCATTAGCAGTGGCATCACTCTGTTCCTTCAAGTTTAGATATTTACAAAACATGTTTTTTTCTGTTCTGTTTTTAGCACAAGAAGAATGGGCTACAACCCGTTCCAGCCTAAAGGCACCACCTCCAAGGTCAGCCAGAGGGGGTTACAGGGAACACCCCTATGGTAGATATTGAAGGTCCTCCTCATCTGTGACCTCATCTCAAAGACAATTATTAGCCTGTGGTCTCCACATAAACAGCAACAAGACAAGTAATAGTCCATTTCTTTTCTATCCTAGGGATTACTGCTCATTATTATCCTATGTACTACTTGTATTTCCTATAGCATTGGAGTGAAATTGACATTAGTATTATTTTATAACACGGACTTAAAAAAAAAACAGAGACAAAAAGCCTTTGGCAAGCATTGTCTATAAACCTTTCAAAGATGATGTTCTGTTGGTTGTATTCATTGCTGTGTGTAACTTAAAAAGCATGACACTGTTACAGATCTTGAGTCTCTACATACTAGCTGAGTTTTTGTTTAGGGTTGCTGAAAGACTGTAATATGATTCCTTTTTTTCCCCTTTTTTTTTTTTTTTTGAACCAGACAATAATCAAGCTGTAGATAAGATGTTTTAACCTGTCTTCTTTAATATATGTTAGTTTAGATTAAGATGTTCAATATTAAGTTTGTAAATTTAATTTTAAATGCTGTTTTAATGGGGTTGAAAACAAGCAGCTACTGTATGTATGTAGCTAACTGAATTTGTTCAGTGTTTTAACCTGTATTTGTTAAAAAAGATCACATAAAGTTCCATGTGTAAGCTTCTCTAAATAGGAAACCATAATTTTGTCAAATATGTTTGCCATAATTTGTCAATAAAGCTGAAACCTTTTGTAACAAACTAAATTTGGAATTACTTGTTTTCTAGCTCTAAATGCCTGCTTTATTTCTTTTTCAAGAGATGCCTAAAATGTTTTTTATATAAAAATTACAAAAATGAACCCAAGCCTGTTTTAAGATTTTTTGTGTAAGACTTTAAAAGTTGTATTAATAATTCTGGTTGTTAAATAATTTAAAAGTTAACAAACTAAACTGTTACATGAATCATGGTTAGTATCCACTAATGTATAACATGTTAATGGAAAAAAATGCTTTAGAACAATAAATGGATTTTAAACTATCCTCAAAGCTTGATCTTGCTAAACACAAACTCTGATTGACTTGTTTGTATTAGCATGTCTCTCGTGAGAATGTAATGGAGTTTAAAGAGGTAAGATTACCACTTACCACTGTTAGACTGTCTAAATGCTAGTTCTTCAACCTTTGAGTTTCCCCGCACATTAAATATCCCATTCAACATGTAAGCATTGCATAGATTCACCTATTTGTTTTCACTCAGAAGAGTGCGTTGACTGCATTTTTCGTAGTATATAGCAATTTGTCTTGATAAACAAATCATCAGTGTCACTGCCCAGTTGTTGGTACTCAACCTCAAAAACTTTATTTGTAATTTTCAGTGCTAAATATCACCGCCCTTGAAGGCAGTTTAGAGGGCTGATATTTCTTTTGAGACTATCAGACTTGATGGCTGATGATTATTAAGGAAATATGTCGCAGGACTCAAAGGATGACTAAACGTTAAACAGGTAACACTAACAGTAACTCTGTAATTTTGAGTATGCAACAGTAATGTTAAATATTCTCAGTTATTAATTTACTGATAGTTAAAAAAGTAAACCTACCAAAAGATAACAAATAGGTATATAGGCTATTAAAACAACTAATTAACATTAACTAGTGACAACAAAATTATTCTACAATATATAACCCTCAAGGTAATAAACAGAACTAAAATTAACAATAATAGTAATGCAACTCTTGCTAACAACAAATATATAACCTAAATTTTGATGAAGAAAAAAAAAAAAACAACCAAACATAGAAGACTTGATGGTAGGGTTGCCAAAACTGTTATTACTTTAAAGTCTTTTTGTTTACAGTGGCTTTTTGTCAATGTGATTGGTTTACTTTTTTGATGAGAATAAAGTAGAGGCCTGTTGCTGTTCAGTTTGTGAACAAAATCTCTTGCAGCTGGAGTTGCATGCTAACTCATTTTGAAGAGTTTATAAAGCATAGCTTTTGTTATCTGACGTGTTAAAATGAATTTAGTAGGCTACATGATGGTTACATTGAGTTTATTCTGTCTCACTATTTCAGGGACTCACCTGCACTGGACAGCTAAGCAGCAGATCTGCTGAGAAGTGGTCAGGTAAGCTCTGTCACATCTCAGGGTTTTTCCCTGTTTCCTATTTTATCTGTGAATTTGTTTTTACTCACAAACAGAACCATATGCAGCTAGACTTTTAAAATAAATAGCTATTTCCCACAATATTTCTCTGCATAGGAGCACAGTGATTAAGGTATAATGGCAATCAAAACATTTGCTTTTATATGGTATGATTACCTGCATGTATTTAGATAAAAGAAGTCTTCTCTGGCCTTTTAAGGATAAATATAAGACAGTATACTTCATGTATGATATACTGCTCCTGCTAAGAACAAGAGCTGGTGTTTCTTAAGCTCATGCCTACATTTTGGAAACAAACTAGTCACATGACATAGACAAATACAATACTGGCTTACCTTTGCTTATGAGAATATTTATCACTTCTTTGTATGAAGAAAAAAAGTGTTTATAAAGCGACAGGAAGTTTGTTATTCTTTTGCATGGTAGTTTTTTCTATTTGAGAGTGGCAAGGACTTTAAAGGTATTATTGCGCAATGGCATGGATCAAGACATAGTTTTCTCTATTTCTTTGTTAAATACATTTAAACATGAAGTTGTATCTTGGATAACCTTCTTATGTAGGCTTCAGATTATATATTGATTGAAGACAAATGTCATTGCTGGAAACATAAAAAAAATTCAGCTCATATATGACTTCATCTACTCACTCAGAAATGTCAATCTAATCGCAATACAAAAAGTGTAAGTTCTCTTCCTCTCTTGTGATTGTTAAATTAGGTGAAAGTTAATAAACAAAACGGATGATGTTGCACACCAGATAAACAATTCCAGGCACATTTATTGTGCCTGCATCTTTTCAATGATTGTGGTCTGGCTGATTTAATGTTTTCCAGCTCTCAGTGTATTCAGTGGTCACTTACAAACCCCAAGTTGGGTTTTATTATGTTATAAAGGGCTTAATTTTCCTCTCCAGAGGGTTGCCTCAAGACTCTTATAAGCTGTGTTGATTTATATGCTACAACGACTCTACAGGGCCAAAGTGATAAACAGGTCATTAAGATTTGTCTGCATATTACAGTCACATCAGTGACTGAGTGCACCGCTACAGTAAAAAGCTTCCATCTACTCACCTTGCATATAGTTATACAAATGTGCTTCAGTCAGTATATATCTATACAGACCAGAAAAATACATTCCACTGTTATAAATACAGTTTCATGCTGGTATAACTGTGATTATAAATCATTATACATTATAGAGTTTAGTATATAAGTACTTCAGGAAATGCTCCTATGCCTTACTGAAGCGATTAATTGCACAAAACTGAGCACTGTCATACCTGATATAGGTGAGATCCAGGGCAAAGTACGTAAATTTAATTTCTCCCTTGTGCATCAGATTTTTGTGTGAGAGAACTAGTGTGAACTCTCTGAGAATGGTCTCCAGTAAATATAGCTTTACTGCAGAGTGTGTCCTTTAATGTTATTGTCTCATAATCCACCTTAAAGTCATTATTTTAATAGATTTTAAAAAAATCTGTATATATCAGTAAAAAGATGCATTGTGAAATATACAATAATTATTTAGAAAATGTAGGTTAATAAGTCAGTGCAAGCAACTGTTTATTCAAACATTTGTTCTATTGATTTTCAGGAAATCAGTATGAAAAATTACCCATCGCTTCACGTGCTGTTCTGTGCTAACTACATATTTCACACCGGTTTCTGAAGAACTCTTACAGTTAGTCAGCTAGGTCTTAACAAAAAAATCCACCTCTTTAATTTGTGAAAGAGTAACAAGAGTCTGTTTATTCTACTTAACAGTCATCTTTAAATCTTCTGTGAAAAGCTCCCCACATCCATCAGTTCAGGTCAGTCATAATTCTGAGGTCCTGAAAACTAGTATAAAATATCAAAAGAATGAGTAAGAACAGTTTGATTTTTAAAAGAAAATGATGTTCAAACAATGCAGGTTCCAAAAAGTGTTATTAATAGAATCAATGAGCCAGTTTTTAAACTGATGGTTTCTGGAGATGGGTTTTGCAACATTTGACAGCCCACGTTGTTGAAATGGTGATTGGATAGTGGAGTGGATGGCATAGCAACAGAATGTATAGCTTTATATGTCATACTGACACAGCTTCACTTGCTGGAAATTTAGTCTGAGAGGAGGGGACACTTTTCTCTTTCCAGCTAGAAACGAGAGTAGGAAGAAAGCTCCAAGGTGCTGAAGGCATTGTCACCTGCTGGAGCAGAACCCCCAGAGCTGCACCACCAGGGACAAGCTTCTGGAAAACAGATGAGGAAAAATGCATTACTTGTTTGGTTTGTCTAGTAGACTTGTTGCATGTATTCAAGAGCCATTCTAACTGTAAAAAATGGATATCCCTAGAGTAGCAACCTTTATCAGAAAATGAACTACATAACTATTTCCTTCCTATACAGTTTATCTTGCACTGTTTAAACAAGAAGGTTTTAAATTTTCAAATGAATAAACGAAGAACCTGAGGAAGGTTCCAAGGAGGTTTGACCTCACCTCAAATGATATCGACAATGTTTTTCTGGCTCAATGAGGTCCTCAACCCCCATTCAGAATAACGGAGCCATAAAGCTGGAGATAATCCTTACTGCGTATGCCCCATTCAGTCTATAACCCAGTAATAATTACTACATTATACTTGAATATGTTGTGACTTCTAAACCAAGTAACACTGATGTTAGTGAAAATGAGTGAGTGCATGTAAAAGAGATCAGTGTGTCTGTGGTAGCTCTAAAAGAACAGATGTGAAGACCTGGTTACTAAGCATGGCAGGCTGGAAGAGTCTGTGTCTCCCTATTGCTAGGGAGCTGCCAGACTGCAGCCAGGACTGTGATAATGAACTGAGTATCTGGAATAAGCAACCAACATACCATTAGAATCAGGATCATATATGATATGCATCAGTTAAACACATATGAATGTATAAGTTAAAAGGCTTAACGTTTTGTCATGATAGTATGGTTTTACTTCAGGAAATAGCTCAAGAGTGCAAGAAGATTAAGTAGCTTGGGAAAAATTTTCATACAGTCAGAATCATAGAAGAGGTTGTAAATTCATCCTATTTGACAAGGAACTCACTTATCCCAATATCAGGACACATATATTTTTTTTGGTTCAGGAGGACAGAGTTCATTTGTAGAGGCATTTTATCGAGGTACGAATAAAAAAAAAAATGCTTACAGATCATAAAGTTTGTACAAAAAAAAAGGTGGCTGTAATTAAAGATATGTCAAAAGAACGAAGATCATGTTTGTTGCTATTTCAAGTCACCTGTGTTGTCAACAGATGAACCAAAGTACAAAAAAAAAAACCAATTAATAAGTAAAATTACAGGAAAAACTGAAAAAAAAATATTTGAATGCTAAACAGAAAACCAGGTCTAATGGTTTTTGCTTTCCATTAGAAACTTTGATGCACTCTGTGACATCAATCAGTTATTAGAACCCAAGAGTTATCAAAAAAAAAGTGTTACATTATCCATTTTACTGTATTGGTCTGTGGAGCCAGAACAGGCACACAGGTAACTTTCTCAGACCAACTACAGCTTCAGAGATGATCACCATCTTCCACTCTGTTGTTAGCTAATTACATTTTTTTAGTTGTTATTATTGCTCATTGGGACCTGACTGAAACCTTTGAAATCATTAAGTCCTTCCTTTTTCTTCAGTTGATTTTGTTTCTGGTCCATAGGTTAGATGTTAACATTCATTTGGAGACATTAAGGAAAATGACTCCCACTGAAAGATTTGCTGCTCTGTGTGGTTAATAGGCAAATGAGCTTTGCTCATGAATATGCTGATATCTTTATGTGAAGACATGCTATATACAGTATTTATTTTCCGAAACAGTGGAATCTAAAAACTGTGGCTCCCAGGAGGAGTACAGGAAAGATTTTCTGTCCTTTCACAATCTCTGGTTGTGTAAGTAAATTATATTATAACTCAGGAGAACATTTTAAAATGGTTAAAATACATCTCTAAATCATGCTTATCTGGAACAAAGCTTTTACTCTCAAACAGAAGCAATCTCTGTCAATCTAAGCATTAGAAATGCAGATTTCTAAATTTCTACTAGAAACATGTCACTGTTTTAAATGTTTGTTCTCCTGACATAAACACTATTAAAGGGCTGTGTTTATTTTTTACTGAAAGACATAAGTGCCTCCTTTCCTAAAATAATTGAATTAACATTGAAAGCTAGGATGCTTTACCAGAGAATGGCAAGATTTATTGAGAAAGCAATTTCAGGCTTTTATATTTCAAATCCGTAAGGAAAGTTTATTGGAGGAAGATCACACCTGTGCGATAATAGTATAAGTCATCATTCACATATTAAAAGAAAAAAAAATAGACAGAAAAAGCTGTGTAGTTGATTTTGTAAATCCTGCATATGCCCAAAGAATTTTTCAACATGCTGAATAAAAATGAGCAGAACTTTCTGGTATCTTTTAGCAACATTTGGGTGCATGCGTAGGACAGTGGAAATGCTTGAGTGCCCTGATAAGAGCAGAATTCATTCTGAAAACAGTGCTTCTTGTTATGTTGTGTTGCTGCTGTACTCTTGATTTAATTGAGGTATAGTTTCTTATTATACAGTGTTATTATAAAGTGTGAGAGTACCTTTTTATATCATGTCTGGCATTGTTCTTGCCATACGCGATGCATTAGCTGATGATAAATGGGTTGCTCACAGGAATACAGTGAATACTTTTGTTATATGCCCTTGCATTACAGGACCTTCACACGGTGTTACCATTAGCAAGTCAGAGGTGCAAACTGCTGAGTTGCTCATTTATGACTTCTTAGCATTCTGTGTTGGTTTGTTTTTTTCTTCTTTGCTTCTGCACAGTAAACAGAACAAAATGTACGGATATTTTGTACTGTGATTTACTGTATTCACTTACAACTCCATGTTCATTGCTCAGCTAATAACTCATTATATTTGTTCTTGAACTTTGTAACAGTCCTGTACAAACACTGGCAAAAGTCAGTGGAAAGGTCTTTCTTTTTCTCACACCCCCCCCCCCCCCTTTTTTTTTCACCTCTTTTCCCAGAAGAGCATAATTGTTCATATACCTAATTTAGCTGAAAAGACAACCAAGGGCACTCTTATTCAAAAAAAACGCTGCTATTCTTTGCTAATATAGGACTTCAGCTTAGTATTCTCAGAGTATTTAAATGTGATAGGGTTCTTCTCATTCTGCATGGTATTTGAGCATTATATAGCTTTTTAATATCTGTTAGAATCATGATGTAAAGATACAAACAGCAGACAGGAAAGCTCTATTACGTTAGATTTCAGTTAAGCAAAGTAGCTTTTTGACGGAGAATTCAGTCCTGCAGATCTTACTCAGATTTTATTCACTAAAAATCCATGCTGACATCAAGGAATGAAAAGGAAATATAAAATTCAGAATTTGATCTGCAGTCATTTTTATAATTTCATTAACTTCAAACAAAACACATACCTGTTCAGGACTGGATGATGTCATTCCAGACAATGTTCTGCCTATGGGCAGTGTGAAATAACCTTGACTTAGGACGAGTACTTCAATTATGGTACCATCAAAACTAATTTTGCCATGTGCAAGAAAAATACTTAGTGGAAGGTGCTTGCTTGGGACTGTCACTCACTCTTAAATCTCAGCTTAGCACCCAAGTTCATCCATTTATGGTACTCACCACTGTTTTCGTGGAGTGAGGACTAACAAATAACTTTCTGAAGGAGGAGCAATACTCTTCTTTACATAGTCTTTAATGACAGCATTACTTATCTTGTTTGCAGACCTAAGGCAAAAATGGGCTGCCCACTAGACTGTGAAGGCCTGTGGGATAGGTGTTTCAGGGAATCTATTGCTCATTTAAAAGAAAGATAGCTGTCTGTTGTTCTAAGACCAAGAATACTGCATAGCTCTTAAAAAAGCTTGAATAGCATCCACAGAACTTCTTAAAAAAAGTTCCTGCATAGAGCTCAAAATGCTTACTGAAGGAAGCAGGTATTTTAATCTCTTTGTAAGGGAGAATTAGAAAAACAGTGTAGCTGAGTGATTTGGGAAAGGACACTCAGCAGGTTGAAGAGATCTAATAAAGTGCAATTAGCAAAGCAGGAGACAACAGTAAGAATTTGCATCAGGAAATGAAACACAGGATGTATTCAGACCTGTAATTTGTTTTGAGAACTGAACTCTCATCCATGGTGCAGGTATACAATTCTCACTTGAATTCTGCTGGACTTTACTAGGCAACTGGGTGGAGCAGCTACACTAACATGGTCATGTAGTGAGCGTACGTACGCATACAAAACTTACATTGAAAAAGCCTGTTATTGTTTTCTTTTGCATTTGTGTTACAGCTGTATTTTTTTATAGCTGCATCACCTGTTGCCATTGTAAGTTTCTTATGCTGTATATCTTTGATGAACAAGAAATACATCTCTGAACACTGATAAGGGCTGGAGAATGCTGGTAATACCTCATGTCTTTATGATAGTGCTGAGTACAATAGGACTGGATCCTAAAGTCCTAAATATTTTTAAACTTTACAGTGCTGACAATTCTAGAAATAACAGAAGTTCTATTTTTGACCACTTTAGTGATAATTTTAGACTCACAGTTGTTTGGCTTTTTTCTACTTTGGAGTCTACTTAGCCAGACTAATGGAAATAAGACACCAGGTTTTGTAATCCATATTCAACCAAAAATAACAGTAAGGATATAATTAGGCATTTAGAAAATGGGTTTGCATTTTTAATATAAAGTAATTTTTATGCCATATTCTTCATCTGGACTTAATTTGATGACTCATTCTCCTTCACAGCTCCCTCAGAAAAAATACAAAACTCAAAAATAAGCTATACAACTTCCACCTGTCACGCTTCCATTTGTCTTTCATTTTGTTAATGTACTATTGTCAGGGCTGGTAATACTGTCTACCATTACGATCACCAGTACTTTCTATAAATGCAGCTGTGTCCACCTCAAATTAAATTTTCCATGACAGGAATCTGCTAAGTCCAAGGATTTTGGCCAAAATGCCAAACAGTTCAGAAAAAATACAAGATTTTGGTCATTTACAAAATAACAAAATTTCCTCTTATATCAGCAAATGTTCATGCAAGTATACGGAAGAATATGTCACAGTACACTCTAGTGCTGATTTCCTATGCATGAGAATGTAAGAACTGCCTTCCTTTGTCAAACCATAAATCTGTCCTGACCAGTGACTTTTTTCAGTCAGATGCAGAAAGAGATGCTTGAGGTGCATGGTGGAGGGGTCAGAAGAAATACGTAGAGCAAGTAGAAGCTCTATGTATCTATATTAGCAAATTAAACACCAGAATAATCTATATCAGACTTGTTTTCCCAGTGCCAGTTAACTCCACTGTCTTGCCTAATGTGCTAATGTACTATCATAGACAGCTGTGGTAATGTACTATCATAGTACAGGAACAATTCTCATAAGGGTCCCAAAAATTATATTTTGATGCTTTCATGAAAATCTGTTTGTTTTGGAGAATATCGTGAGACATCCAAAATGTTGACTCTTGCCGACTCAGTAAACTTGCTCAAAGCTATACAAAATGTCTATATTCTCACTGATCAGAATCATTTTCCTCTATGTGAAGTTACTTCAGTGTACAGAAAATAATTCAGAGTACCTAAGCCAGATACTCTAAAACACTGTCTGCAGTTCTGGTGTCCTCAACATAAAAAGGACATGGAACTGTTGGAACAAGTCCAGAGAAGGGCCACGAGGATGATCAGGGGACTGGAGCACCTCCCGTATGAAGACAGGCTGAGGAAGTTGGGGCTGTTCATCCTGGAGAAGACAAGGCTGCGTGGAGACCTCATAGCAGCCTTCCAGTATCTGAAGGGGGCCTATAGGGATGCTGGAGAGGGACTCTTCATTAGGGACTGTAGTGACAGGACAAAGGGTAACGGGTTAAAACTTAAACAGGGGAAGTTTAGATTGGATATAAGAAGGAAATTCTTTGCTGTTAGGGCAGTGATGCACTGGAATACGTTGCCCAGGGAGGTTGTGAATGCTCCATCCCTGGCAGTGTTCAAGACCAGGTTGGACGAGGCCTTGGGTGATATGGTTTAGTGTGAGGTGTCCCTGCCCATGGCAGGGGGTTTGGAACTAGATGATCTTAAGGTCCTTTCCAACACTAACGATTCTATGATTCTATGTACCTTCTCTCCATTGGCTGGTTAAGGAAACTAGCTAACTAATGCATTTAAAAAAAAATAAGTCCCTCCCTCTTTAGCCTAAATCTTAAAATTATTTCTCAACCCATTGTTTTTAATAGGAAGTGATTTTAATTACTTTGTCACAGGCTTCATTATGTTAATATTATCAAGAAATGAAACACAACACCAACTCAGCCTCTTCTCACAAGTTCCCATTCTCATCCATACCAGCACTCAGAAGTAATTTGCTCAGGGTGAATATAATTACTCTGCTGTATTATCTGCATGAAGAGTGTTGGTGTTCATAAAATTCAGTGCCACAAACCTCCGTTTTTATTACATTGATAAAAGCATACTCATACTACTGTGCATAGACCATGAGCCTTCATTTCGAGTAGAAGATTGCAGGTGGAGAAAAGGTATTGAAGGCAGCTCTTCATAAATTTGTAGCATTATAACAAGATGTTAAATGAGAAAGCTGAGATAAAATTACATTGCTGAAGTTATACAGTAAATTTGCCAAAAAAAAGTTCAGAAAGTTAGAAAAAAAACAACCTAGAAATGTCAGTATTTAGTTTACTCCTTTTCCTCATTTTTGCTCTGTTGTGCACATTCATTATTTTAGAGATCTTTAGAAACTTTTCTGTCATTTAGACTAACCCTGTGACACAGAGATGCTGTGTGAATATACATAAATCATTTAAGCTAAAATATTAATGTGACAACTAATTCTGTGTTCTTCATTGAATATGTCTGCCCAACTTTGTCTTGATTTTCAGCTTTTTGGAGCCTTAGGGAAGCACTGTAGCTTTTGAACGCTGTTCAGGGAATTGAGAGTCTTCGACATCGTTTGCAATAAATCAGTGGGATCTGAAAGACTGTGCCTCAGGTTGGGACTCACAGCCCCAAGTTCTGGACCTGCCACTACCACCCTCTTTAGGAAATGCCAGCACTGAGACTTATGGTGATCTTCCAGTCTATCAGGTGAGCTGTCGTATTTGTCTATATGTTTTTATTTTATGTCAAATGTGAGATAATTCAGCTTACCCTAGTCTGAAAAGATACTATTTTAAACTAGTTCACCTTAAGTTTGTCATTGGAAGAGAGCTCATACACTAATACCTATTATGCATGATACTTTGAGACAGGATAATTTATATATAATATCTCTTTCTGTGGTAATGAAACATAATATTTAATCATCTTGCTCACAGAAGTGACATATAAATAATCAAACTATATTTGTGCAATCTGTTGAACATAGAAATAGTTTTTAAAAATGCAAATATTTGGAATCATCAACTTCCCTTGGAATGAGTTAACTCATTGAGATGTTTATGTTAAAAACAAATTTTGCAGTTTCTGGGGTTTTTGCTCTATTCTCCATTTGTTCATCTAGAAAAATCTTGGTATCTTCGTGAGCTGTTGTGAACATACACTTACTAATATAGTCCTGTAACTAAAGGCTATGTCTTCTTGTATATACTAAAGAACATCATCTAATTATATTAGAAAGTATAAATCTAATATTTCCTAAATCATCTAAGCTAAATTGGGTTGGAAGAGACCTTAAAGATCTTTAAAAACCTTAAAGAATGTATATGGGAGTTGTATTTTTCTGTAATAAGCTTAAAAGATCTTTAAAAAGATCTTTAATAATCTTCAGTAATAAGCTTTAAAGGAATTTAGAGATCTTAACATATGTGAAACCTGTATTTTCTGTAATAAGCTTTTTTATAGCAATATGTCATATAATAATGCAGTTACTGCATTTGGTGATTATAAATGAGTTTGTTTCTTCAGTAAACAGCATGGGAAACAAAAGGCCATTTTCAGTTTTTGCGGATGATAGCTAGCAACACCCCAAAGTTTCAGCTAGCTGACAAAAGCATTATCAATAACTAATGCAGAATTACTCTGCAACTGCTCTGGCAGATTATGTGCAGTGGCAGCGCAAATACTTGCATCAATACTATATACACCATCCCTTCCCAGACCTCTGGTACAGCCACAGTCCTGCCTTTACTCCTTCTAACTGTACACTGGAAAGCAGACCTGAAGCTTAGTCTCCTGCACTGCAAAACAACATGAAGTCCTCTTAGAGTACTCCATTCCTTGTCATTTCATGTTCTGAAAGTGATGACATTTTTCTGCTCATGCTATTTTTCAATTTGCTTTCTGCAAATGGCAATCAAAATTTGAACTATGCCTTGCTTTAGGTGTAGATTTTTCTGTCCAAAAAGCTTCAAGAACGTGGCCAAAAGCTATTCAAAAAGTAACACATCTCTAGACTTGAGAAAATAATCAGTATAGTTTTCAAGATTCCTTCTCCTAGTCAGACCTGGAAATAAACCCTGGGTCACATTATGCGCACTCCAGTTTTAAGTAAGTAGGCTGTGAGTGAGATTATGAAATGGGTGAAAATATGTAGGGTTTTTAAGGGTTTACTTACATTATGGTTAAGTGTGTTAATGCTTTGTAACTAGTAATCTAGGGCCCTTAGAAATGTTTTTCACATTATAGCACTGTGGAATAAGACTGATGCCTCTATTGTTAGTTGTGGTTTCCACATAGCAAAATTGAAGGGGGAAAATGTTTACATCACATAGAATGCTACTCATCAGAACCAAAATACCTTTACTTATATCCCAGTCTCCTAACCATTGGACTACATTTCCTAAAAAGGCTTAAAAGAGAGACTTGGAAGTAGGTGATCATTTTCATTCTTTGCCTAAAGAAAATGATTTAATGTTCATGGAAACTCAGAGGCGTGATTCCTTTTGGCTTTATAACTTCAGGTTTTAATAAGTGAAAAAGTTTTCCAGGAGGGTGGAAGACCCTGCATATCTTTCTAGAAGATGAACAGAAATCTGCAAAAGAAGAAAGGGAATTCTAATTTTTCCCCATCTTGAACAATCCAGAACTTCATACTAAAATACCGAGGTTCATTTGCTTCCATGACTTCCTTTGCATTTTCTGACTTTGTTTTTCAGCTGTATAGATATATATGTGTGCATATCCTCAATTCAGTCCTGAAAGGCAGTTTAGCCCCTTTTCAGGTATGTGTCAAAAATTAAATTGTGTACAGTTAAGGGAACACAAGGTTTGACACATATGCTTGTCCTTCAAGTTCTGTGCTCAGTGCTCTGTTGTGGAGCAAGAGGTTGAAAAGTGGGCATAGAGAAGCACAGTCCAATGCACAAGAGCTTTGCTGTAATGGAACAGGCCATTCAAGGCCTTCACTTTGAGCTCCCCATGTGCAGCATTCACCTCAAGGAACTGGGACTATGGGGTTTCCCAGAAGTGGATTTTCTGTACTTCTATAACTATCTTTGCTAATTCTCTTCTCTGGTGGCTTTGTTGTTGCATTGCTTGTTTTTTAAAGAAATGAGATTTGCTTAGGAGAAGGCAATTCTGTTGATAACCCTCAACATTTTCAAAAGATAAAATAGAAATTTCCATTTTTAGTTGAACAATGAAAACATACTTTTGTTTTCAGAAAGACTGCAGCTTTCACTAGCCTTAACTTAAAGTTCTCAAAAATCAAGTCATCACTGGCACACAAGATCTAGATATCCTCATCCAAAACACCTTTTTTGAACTTCTTGTCTTGCATCTTTATACAGACAATGTGGAAATTAACATAGTACAGACTTTGAGACAGCCAGCTGCTGTTTATGAAAGCCAGAGAAGTATTGAAGATGCATATATTACACTAATATTTCACTAATAGCTTGAATTGCAGCTAAAGTGAGCCTACTTTATTTTTCTAAAAGCATCCCTAATGACTGGGATATGTTGATGTACTCATGCACTACAGCAATGATCTATGAAAACAGGTAAGCAAATAAGATAAATTGTATAAGTATATGCATTTTTCTAGAGGTAGGTAGAATTAAATGTTGGAGAATATTCAGCCTGAGGCTAATAGATATAAGACACTGTGAACCATACTAGTAATGAATACATTAAGCTGTTAGTTAATCATAAGTGCTACTGGTGAGTTCTGTAGCTACACCCGTAACCGCTCTGCAGCATGTAGGTTTGGGTGACTAGGGTATCTTTATAACACTGATACAGAGATAATTGTTTAGTTAGTACTGAATCTAGCCATTAGGCTGTGTTGTGAACTCTCTTCTCTCAAATACTATTTTTAGCTTTTATTGACCTGACCAGCTGACTTCGCTCTGCATTTGTTTCCTGTCAAATGCACTTCTCCCCCTCTAAGTCTAAACTGACTGTCCAAAAAAGTTGTGGGCTCCAGACATGAAATGGAATTTTATTACTGAGGTTCACAGTGAAAATCATTGGAAGTTACATAATAATGTGAAAGGACATTTAGTTGAAAGGCTGTCAGAAGATAAAAGTGTATCAAGCTTTCCAGAGTGTTCACATTGCAACTCATGGAGTTAGATGACATTGAAAAGAGCAATTCAGTGTTTAATGCATGCACCTCTGGTGACTGTGCTTTTCCACAGCACTAGCTGTTGAAGTATCAATAACGAAGTCTGTAGCATAGAATTTAATACAGGAGTTTTCCATTAAAGGGGTTAGCTGTTGCAGTTCACAGTAACTTTCTTTCTAGCTCAGCTTAAACTGCTGAGGACACAGTACTCTGTCCTTGAGTAGGCAGGACTGCATTCATCTTACTCTTCCCACTGGAACAGAGAAGAAGTAAAGTATGAGTACATATGGAGCAATGCAAAACAAGTGAGTACCTGCAACACAGGAATGTATTATTATTGGATTTTTTTTTTTAAATGTCAATCCATAATACATGAGAAATAAAAGCAAGTCTAACCATCCTGAAATTATCCTAAGTGTGCAGTAGCACCATAAAAGATGCCTGTATTTACTACTAATAATAAAACTGTAGCATTACACTAATCAAATTCAACTGCATAATTTTCAGTGAAGAGGTGCTTATGAAACACAAAATGAACACCAGAATGGAAGGTTCATTGCTTCCTAATCAAAAGCAGTCAGCTTTAAACACTAGCCAGTCAGTGATAAGTTTGTCATTTCTCAGCTGGGCTCATGGAGGGAAGTTGCCAAAAAGGTTTGGCAGCCTTTAAACTTTGCAGAGCATTTTCTGCCTGTTTCTGAACATCATGTTGATCTACAAAACTCCTGGGAGGCTGGAAGGAGAGGCAGAGTAACAGCAGTTCTATTAAAATGTATTTGCAACAATGAATGTCAATCAGAGTTTGTGGTGTGAAAAAATGTGTAGTTCTTTAAAGGAAATTTTCACCACCCCTCAAGTCTGGTTCTTCCTTGTCTAACTGTGTCCAGCTACTTTGGGGGACTGAGGAGTGTCAGTGATTCATTGCCTGGGTGACAGAGAAATGCAGGCATGCAATGCACCATTAAAAGCCAGAGATCAGGGTGTATGAATTAAAATGGGAGGCTCTGAATGAATACATTACTGCTATATACAATTAACAGTACAAGCCAGAAATCATTTACTTTCATAATTTAGAAGAATGGCAGCTGTCCAATATAAATGTATTTACAGTAGTTTTACATTGCCTTCTACAGGCTTAGTACAAAAGAGACAAAAATTAATATGTACCATGGCAGTAATAGAGAAACCTGTGTTTGAACTGTTCTTTCCTTTTAATCAGCATGGGCTCTGCTAAATAGGAGAGAGAATTATGAGTAGGTGGAGAGAACCTGGGTTACTGAGGGCAAATAACTGTCAGGGGGATAACAGCAACTTGAGCAACAGAGTCTGTCCTTTGCATGACTTGGGATAAACAGTCTTCTCTGGTTTAACCCAGCATGAGCACGAGTTGCAAAGCAACCAGCCTGAAGATGCTCAATAATCTTCCCCTATGTGAAGGTCTGATTTCTTCTCCTTTGGCAATTATACCATTGTCCTGGAAGAATTCTCTAATGTTGGCTAAATTCTTCTATTTCACATCCTCAAGTGTGGGACCCTACAGAATTTTAGTAATTTTTTGTATTGGTTGAAGTCCCATTAAGCTTCTG